CAGACCTTCTGCAACACGGTCCCGCACGTTATCTTAATTTAGTCCATGGCATCAGAAGGGCTCTGCCCTGAAAATCTGGCCGTAAGCAAATTGCCCAGCAAGCCTCAAAAGTTTATGTACTTACACACACAAGTCCCCATTTCACCACATCCCCTTTAAAATGGGGCAATTTTATTTATGATACCATTGTCTGTATTTTATGAAGTTCATTATGACCTGCTCATGGTTTGCAGAGGTTTTCTTTTGTAATGTACAAACTTTGAATTCATGTCTTGTACACTCAGGTTTATGTTAGTAATATATTAAAATTGCGTGTTCCTAATACCAATGCTTGGAAAACATTATTTCATGCTTCCCACTAATCTGAGAAGTACCAAATCACCACTAATCTCTGCGTTCTGCCCTTTAGCTAATTTCGTATTCATACTGCTACTATCCCTTTAATTCCAAAAGTGATTTTTAACAAGTCTATTATATGATAATTTGTCAAGCATCTTTTGAACATCTATGTATGCATTAATTGCATTACCCTCATCATGTTATCTCCATTACTTCATCTAAGAACTAGATCAAGTTAATCAAACAAAACAGGCTTTTAACGCATTCAAAATGACTTTAACTTTGACTTATTCTGAAATACTTTTCCAAGTGCTAATTATTTTCTTCCCTGGATTTTTGTCTCTAATGGTTTCTTCACCACCGATGTTAAGTTGACTGGTCTATAGTTGCTAAATGTATCCCTCACTTCATTTATCTGAAGAAAAGTGTCACCCTTCTAGTTAAAAAACGAAAGAATTGCGGATGCTGTAAATCAGGAAACAAAACAGAAATTGCTGGAAAAGCTCAGCAGGTCTGACAGCATTTGTGAAGGAAAAAACAGAGTTAACATTTCGGGTCTGAGTTCTGAGGAAGGGTCACTGGACTCGAAATATTAACTCTGATTTTTTCTTCACAGATGCTGCCAGGCCTGCTGAGCTTTTCCAGCAATTTCTGTTTTGTTCACCCTTCTAGTTCTCCAGTTCTCAGGCACCAACCCATATCAAAGGAAGGTTCGAAGATTTCATTCAGTAACCTGGACGCTTCCCATCTGGAGTAGGTGATGATTTTATTTTGTGTTGTGAACATTTAAAGAGCTCCCTCGTCATTTTCATTTATTTTCAACACTCCTATGTTGTCCTTCTTTACTGCTACATTAACAGCCTTTTCCTCTCTGCTCAAAGCAAATATAAAGTACTCATTTAGCGTTGCTGCTATGCCCTTTGCTTTTATTTTTTCCATTATGAATTGTTCCATTATGTTTCCTAGTTACTTTTACCTTTCTTTTAACTATCCTTTGCTGTTATGTGTTTGTAAAATATGTTTGAATATATCTTTTATATCAGCCTTAAATCTATTCTTAGTATCTTCTTTCCACTTTCATTTTCTTTCAAAGGTCATTTCTGTATTTTCTAGTTGAATATTTTTGATGCTTGATTGCCACTTGTCTTTTTCTATTACTACTTTAAAACATATATGTGATGATCACGGTTCCCCTGAAATTTGATCCTGTTGCCCCACTTCATTCCTCATAACTATCCTTGCCACTCTTTCCTTCCTCTAGTAACCCACTGACCAAATAAAGTTTTCCTGTACACATTTCAAAATTTACATCCAGTTTTTCTTTTTTATTCTGATGTTCCAGTTAATATTAGGGGAATTGAAGTCCTCCTATTATATTTATAGTTGTTGCATCATTCTGTAACTTGTTTGTAATTTTCTTTATCTATCTCATTCTCATCACTTAGTGACCTTTAATAAAAGCCTGCGATAGTGAATGGCTAGCAATACTTAATTGCAGCCTGCACCACTTAAATTGTGACTATGAAATGATGGAAGTTTTAAAAAGAAATCTGGGCTGAGATATATGATGTTTGATCACATGAGGAAGCGAATCCAAGGATTTTCACTGTGCTGTAGGTCTTGGCACAATTAAGAAAGAAATCCTGTCAATGCGAGTGAGTTCATCTTCAAATTACATATCCTATCAATTGCACCACAAACTCTTATTCTCTGCTTAATTTACTAAAACCCCATCACCCATCTACCAACAATTTCTTTCAATTGCCATTCAATCCTAACATTAGTGGCTTTACTTCAACCTCACACAATTAACACAGCTACAAGCCTTGCAAACACAACTCACAGCTTTCATGTTCAAGTATGACATCCATCTCAACCAGACATCTTACAGGACATTAATACACTTATTCATTCAAGAGAAAATGGTACATACCAGGGCAGAGAGGAAATGAACTCGAGGAAAACAAGTGTAAGAAACAGTGCTGCCCACAATGAGATGGGCCATCACTGAGTCTGTGGCCTCTGGTGGTGATCAATGACCAGGGCCTCTGCCTAACTGCTCCTCATCTCAATCAATTTTCTCTCATTCCACAAGCTGCGTAGAAAGACACTTCTTTCTTTCTCCTGTCTCGTCATCGCACTAACGTTTATCTCTTTTTGTCAGGTACCCAAGAAATGGAACCTTTCTAGTCAGTAGAGAAAAATGATGATGATAGTGATGATGAAAATAAAGCATCATTTGATCTTACTTTTGTAGTTGCTAACTTTGACACTGACACTGTGTAACTGGAAGGGAGGGCAGAAGAGGATCTGTATTTGGTGAGAATACATGAGTACAGGACCCAGAGTAGCGGGCAAAAAATTGCACAAGTGTTGGTCTGCTGAATTTTGAAGTCATACACTACTTCTGCATCAGAGGAGACATATGGCAATTTTGATGGATAAGACTACAGAAGAAGGTTCTTGCATGTAATTAACAGCTCCATCAAAGGTTTGAAAGCAACAATGTACGTTCATACTGTTGCCTTGTATTCTGTTGCTACAATCATAGTTGTGGATATCCTATTCAAAGGAATCTACAGAATACCATAGCAATCCACCAATCTGCTCTCCAACAGATCAGTAAGATTGTTGACAGGTCACTTGAGGAAAGTGATAATGGCTGTGTGGAGCAGGAACATGCAATCTTTTCTCTACTTGTGAGATTCCTGTCACATTCCAAGTTTTCTTGCTGTTGCCTGTTGTCTAGCCAGCCAGAGCAACCTACCACAGCCAAGGACCAGGTAGTGCAATATGAAGCCCAGCCTTTAAGGCCCGAACTGCTTCAGGACAACATTCAAAGCAATTTTCAGTCTCCTCAATTGGAGGTCAGCAACCTTCTATAATCATAAGTGTTATGGGCAGCAGAAACACATGGCGGGAATGTTTATTTTTATATGCATTTTGTCACAATTGAACTTCAAATTTAGATTTTACTCTGCGCTTCCTTGATTGTATTCATTGTTTTCATTGTGACAAAGAGGATAATGTGGCGATTAGAGAATAAATGTGAAGAGCATAGGGTTGTTGGTGGATGGTGAGCTGTGGTAGAAGATTTGGATATGTCACATTAATTATTTCATCCACTAGAACTAAAGCAGAAAGGCACGGTTTACATTATAGCCTGCTTCCCCTCTGTCTTCCTCTACTTCATGTCACATCTCCTCCTCCTCCACCATTTCTTCCCACTCCTCCTGCTCTTTAAATGTGGACAATTGCAGCAGCAAACAGAAACAAAGAATCCAGTTACTAATCTTTTAACCAATATATCATTAGGCAATATTTAATGTCATATTCAGCTGTCTGGTTACGACAGAGTGAAAACTAGAATATTACTTTCAAAACTGGCATTACTGGAATCCAGAACAGCATTGTATGCTGATGGAGAATATAACCTGCCTGCTCTGCATGCTGAAGGTGGTCATTTAGTTCAAATCTGCAAGCTCTTTAACCAAGGCAGCATCCACCACACTTCCCATCCAAAATGTGCACCATTTCTAAACACTAGGAAAACATATAGTGCCTAAAAACAGAGACAAGCTTCTTCCCCATTTTTTGAATAATAGTTGTGTCATCGCTGACTAGTATCTATTCATAGAGGACCTCAGTTTGTGATGCCCTGGATTTTCTGGTTGTACTGATTGCGAAACTGGCACCATTCACCATTATTACAATTGTCAAATTATACTTACATGTGCACAGTTGAACACAGAAAGCTGCTGACAGTGATATTCTGTTACTCCACAAAGTAAACTGTTAAAGTCCCCCACTGATTGGAAATCAATTAGAAATGTCTGACTAATAAGAACTTTTCTTATGCTCTAATATCAATGTTAAAATTAATGGACTTAGCAATGACATATAACTGGGAATTAATGCTGTATAAGATCATAACTACTTCTGAAGAACTGATTGTTCTGGTAAAATAATTTTATATTTATCTGTCATATTTTTCTATTATGACAAAAATTTCATAAGTTGTGCATACAGTAAAAGGTATTTTAAAAGCTTTTTTTTTACAGTATTTCTGCTGTACCTGTGTGTGCCCCAATCTTTATTACTGTCTCTATAAACTTTGTAAAATAGGAAAAATAAGTCCATACTACTTAGTGGCTTGTTCTATGTGAGAATTCTTCATTGTGAAGGACTGTTTATGTTGCTTATTAACATGACCATTGCCGGATGTCTGTAGATCCTCTTGGGTTGTTGCCGGAGTCCAATTAATACTTGGAAAGATAAATCCATACCTCAGGGATAATTAAATCACTTTTTTTAAAACAGCAACAAGGACCGTTACTTTCCCACTAAATCTCAACCAATATATTTTAAGGTGTGACCATTCACTTGCTCAAGTCACAGCAGTGACTGTATCAAGTGTTTCATAAGATTGAAATTATTTGCTCAATGAGATGTCTTTTCAGAATAAAATGATGTGTATTTATGCACAGTAAAGTTACATTACTAACATGCCATTTGTGTAGAATCAAGGTAATGCTAATTAAAAAGGTGAAAAACGTAAATGCATGGAAAGTTTCATTGTCTACTTCTTTGGTGCATGTTATAGTGTCAAATAAAGGTTACAGGAGTTTGATGGCATTTTCATGATCTTGCTTTCATTGCAGGCATCACAACTGTCCTGACTATGACGACACTGAGCACGATTGCACGTAAATCCCTGCCCAAGGTTTCCTATGTCACTGCTATGGACCTCTTTGTGTCTGTTTGCTTTATATTTGTGTTTGCTGCACTAATTGAATATGGGACCTTGCATTATTTTGTCAGTAATAGAAAGCCCAGCAAAGACAAAGACAAAAAGAAGAAGAATCACGTATGTACTCTTATCATAAGAACCCTCTTAAAAATTGTTATTGATGTTTGAAAATAAAAATGTGATAAAACACAGCACCACAATTGGTGATGGGCATAGCAATACTTCTTCAAAAACTTTGTCAGAGTGTTTTGCTTTAACACTGACTCCTTCAAAGTTTGTAATGCGACTCTGTTTTAAATAGATAAATGTGCTGAAGTATAGCACACATTTGAAAGATCTATTTCCTTTGGGTATAAACATGGCACATTTTTGCCTTCATGAGCTCTTCCTCTTTTTCCAGTTAGAATGGAAATACAGTCCATTTTATTAAATGTGATCACTTGATTAAATAATTGAGTTATCTTTTTTGAGTATTAGTGATCTCACTGTGTATCATCATGAGAAAATGGAAAGCATACAATTCTAAAATTTGCTGCCAAAACATCCCTCTTCTTTTTGTTGCCTACATACCTGCCAAACCTTCCACTAGAGCTTGATCAGTTTTTATGATCTTTGACATAAGAATTAACCAGTGTACAGTAAGATGATTATTATTACCAAATAGTTGTGTGTAATCATACCTTCAGACTTTTCAATTAAGAACTAAGGAGAATTTCTGGTACATCATATAAATAACAAGATGCATTTTATAAATATAAATAATTATATTTATACTCAGCACCAGGCATTCAAATCCAAATGCCCTCTGAAGTTCACCATTGGCTATGTCAGGTCATTCAACATAGATCTGTTTCCTGTTCTATAATGAGTTTCTTGCTACTTATTGATTCTGAATTATATCTACACATCCTTCAAAAGTATTTCAATTGCATTTTGATAATAATGTGTTCCTTTAAGTATTCATTAAATATTTTTATTCTGTTTCTTAAAAAAAGCTTCTTCGGATGTTTTCATCAAAGGTACTTATATTTATTTTTATAATATGTTTATTACTAAAACAATGTTTCTTGTTTGAAAGTGTCCCTTTTTGCCAGAGATATGGTCAATTTCTGTCAAAATACTGATGTTATATAGCACGGAAAATGTGCCTTTTTCTTTTGAGATGGGTTTAATATTTTTGATTGCTTCTAATTCTTTGTCCAATCAATGTGTTGCTCTACGTGTAAGTTTTAAAAGCTGATGAAACAAGGCAGACTGCCTATGTGATATGTTTTCAAACCCAAGTACTGCTATCTATCATGGATGGTGTCACAAAAATACACAAATCTGTCCTTTTCTGTAATTCTGTAATTATTTTTCCTATCTCTTTATAACTACGTGTTTATCACTGCTACTGAACATGATTCCAAATCTCTAAACCATTCACTTGTCTCTGTATAGTTATTTATTATGGTAGCTGTAAACTACTGCCCAAAAGTAGCAATAACCTGTTGTAATGGAAAGATTCAAAGACATGACTCACAGTGAGTATAGCTGGATATGTAGCATTTTTCACTGTGTTAGGATGTCTCAAAGTCTTCTAAATTAATGCATTACTTCTAAAGTGTTACTTTGTCATCAATCTTGGGGTGAGGGTTTTGCTTGAACCTACATTTATTGACCATCTTCATTTGTCTTGGAGAAGGTGGTTGTGAGCTGCACCTTGAACTGTTGCAGTGCTTGAGTTGTAGGTACGCCCACATTTCTGATAAAGAGGTTGTTCTAGGATTTTGGGGTAGTGATGTTGTTCCAAGTCAGGAGGCTTGAGTGAAGCTTGCAGTTAGTAGTTTTCCCATACACCTGCTGGCCTGATCCCTTGAGATGGTACAGATTTTAGGTTTGTAAGGTCCTGCTGGGTGTGCCATTGTGAGATATTGCAGTGCATCCTGTAGATGGTACACACTGCTGCCCCTGTGCATCGATGGTGAAGAGAGTGAACATGGAAGTGGTGAATAAGGTGCCAATCAAGTGATCTGTTTTGTCATGGGTAGTGTTGAGCTTGAGCGTTGTTGAGCAGCATCCATCTAGGTAAGTGCAGAGTATTCTATCACATTCCTGATTTATTCCTTGTGGTGACAGGAAATGAAATACTGACCACAGAATTCCTAGACTTTGTCCAGCCTTTGTATTCACTGTATTTATATAGCTGTGCCAATTCAGTTTTTGGTCAATCCTACCTAGCAGGGCATTGTTAATGGGGGATTCAGCGAGACAAAGTCATTGAATGTCATGTGTAGCGTGAATGTCATTTGCCAGTTAACTTCCCATTTAATTCTAAGCACCATTTGCTTATTAATTGAAGAATACTTACATGCATATCAACACAATATTAGTAAACATTTTGTGAAGGATATGACAGGCCATGTGTAATGTTTGCATTATTTTGCAACTGTTTCACATCTGACTTTAACTGATAAATATAAGCTGTTAAAGTAGTCTAAGATCAATGTAATGAGCTTAAGAGACTATATAGTAAGAATTATGTAAAATAAAAAGACATGCTTCATATATGTAATTCCAAATTAAAGTATTCTTAAAAATTGTTCTGATGTAGAGCACTATAATGGTAAAAATAAATCTATTACCTTCTCCATTTTAAATGCAGTGGAAAGAATATACATTTCAATGTTGGGAATGTTTTATTTGTAAATATTATAAATAGTGAATTTATGATGAAGTCTTAGGGTTGCTTTTTTTTGTCTATTGCACTTCTACTGTTAATGTTTTCACCTGTCCAAATTCCAATGTGAATGAACAGACAGTTCATTATGTTGCTACACACAGCCTGTGGAAGGGTCATAACATATGTTCCAAATCTTCAAAGCCTTTTCAGTGCTCATCATATTTGTTCTTCTAGTGAACAGCTTACATTAAAGTGCCTATTTCCTTTAAATTTACCAATATCTTTTATGACTTTTGATGAAAATACCCATTTCTCCTCTAGTGTGTTCTAAACTGGATGTAGGTAAGAAATTTATAAAATGCTCTGAGCACAACAAATCTGACATAAAAACCAGTCAGACAAAATGGCACTTTTTGTGACCCTGTTCAATATGTTACTAATATAGCAGACCAATATTTCCATCATAATTTCATTTCACGTTAAATAGCAAAATTGAAAAAGTAATCACTATATTCTTTAAGGAACAAAACTCTTTGTTTTAGGCATTACAATCCTAAAATTAAAATATGTGCGGAACTAATTCATTTCAAAATTGTTGAAGTCCATTAGCTAATTTATAAAGAATCTATATAAATAGTTATGAATTAGATTCAAGTTTGAGGCAAATATTCAAGAGATAAATAATACCGTAGGGTTTCAGATGTACTATGTAAGGTCCTGGCTCAGTCCCATTCTAATCATTTGATAATGCCCTGGATTTTGATTAAATTCCAGTTCATAATCTAGATTTCATTGCTTTCAGAAGTTAGGGAGAATTGCTATTAATCATTTTCTTCCATCATTTGGAAAATCCTGTCAATATTGTTTAACTCAATCAGTATAATAACAATTGAATGATTGTCCACCATGATATAATTGTGAATATTCTATCAGAAAGTATGCTTAGTTATATTTGATCCCATTTATTAAGAATTTTTCTTTAAATTGAATTAATATAAACCAATAACACTTTTAAGATTTTTCTACAACTTTACGTACTTCTGTAGGCTGATTGACTTTTATTTGTTCTTAATCTCTAATGTTCAAAGATACTTACTTTTCTCTTCTGCTCTGAATCATTTAATCAAATCATTCACTTCATAGAAACAAGAAGCCCACTGCCTTAATATCTTAATTGTGACATGGTACCAAATTTTAGACTTTGAAAAATGTAACACATTAATAAATCTCCACGAAGCCCAGCTTCTGGAGTCAATCAAAAGAGCAACTGCTATTTCCTTACAGTATAATGAGGTAGATTTTTTGTCTTCTCTGCCTGGGTGATAATCTCCTGGAATAGGTCATTCATTTTGATATACCCACCTCCCCCAAAACCCTGTCATTTTCTGGCCATTTAAAGCAAAAAGAAAATCTGTGGAATAGATTTTTAATCTTTCTGCAATGAGCATTACCAATGAAAAGTCCATTATAGAAACCAAATGATATAGAAGTATGAAGTCCACGCTCCATGCTACATGAAAATTAACAGTCTTTATTAGCATATCTATTTATAAGTCATGAGAAAAAAAAGACATTCTACAGACTCAGGCTCCAGGTCCGTTTTTATCCAACATGACTATATCTTTACTGCAAGAATATATATTAATTATGCTTGAAAGGGGCAAAGGTATGGTAAGCTCACCCAAGTTCCTTTACAGTACCACATTTCCCCGCTTACATGAATATTACCTGCAGTCCCCCCATTCCCCCTCTTTGGGTTGAGACAATAATTTTCACCAGTATTCTCAGCTCTCTGGAGGATCTACAGAATGCATGGGCTCGCTTGTCATTGTTTGGGAGGGCAAACACATGGATAGAGTAGGACAGCCAGCTCTCTGTAGACAAGAACTTTTCTGAAACTGCATCAGAAAATAGAAGTGCTTTTGCACTATGGTCTGCAGCCTGGATAACCAGTTCATTTAATTCCCAGTGTGATTCTAAGCTTTTTTTTTCCCCAGTTATCCATATAATGAAGGTGATTTCCATTCCTAACAAGGGTTGTCTTCTCAACGATAGTCTTCTGCAAAGTTTAAAAAGGATTTTGGTTGTCTTTTTCAAGATTTTGTCTCTTATATATAAATGTCATCATTCATTGACCATAGCACAATATATTCCTCAAATAATATTGTTCAGTTATCTTTAAGCTTAATGTTTTCATACCAATTGCATGAGAACACTGGCTACTTCTGTAAATAATTTTCAGAAATCTGCCTACAGCCTTTTGTTTTCAGTCTTAAAGGCTTCTTGGAGTTATGCAACTGCTAACAACTGGGTGTTAGGTCAGTAGCTTCCTTAAAAGCTAATTAAACCATTTCAAGCCTTAGTTACTTTTAATGGTTCAAGCTCCTTTTGATCATGTGTTTTAAAGCTGTTCCAGGGAAATCTTCAGCTCTAGAAGCTTTGAAGGTCAAAATAGGTTTGACTCAATTTGGAGTTAAGGACCTCCTCTTTCCCTGATAGCCCTTTGTTAACTGCATATAATTGTTGATGATCCTGTAAATATGTCAAATTTGTGTCGATGCTCCGAGTATGTTTGTAAAGATGCTGTATATAAGGTTGGCGACGGCTACCTCAGGAGGGGCATCCTGTACGCTCGCTGAAGCTTCAATGTTCTTCACATTGGAGCTGTGAAACCCCTTTGTTCCATCATTGAAGATCTTATTCTTAATCCATAAACCAAGACTATGCAGTTGCAGTGGACATTTTTGATTGTAGAAATCAAAAAGAACTGCGGAAGCTGTAAATCAGGAACAAAAACAAAGTTGCTGGAAAAGCTCAGCAGGTCTGGCAGCATCTGTGGAGGAGAAAACAGAGTTAATGTTTCGGGTCCGGTGACCCTTCCTTAGAACTGATGGTGGCTGGGAAAACATCAGTTTATATGCAGAAAATAGGGAGGTGGGTGGGGTAGGGAGTAAACGATAGGATAGAGCCCAAAGAGAGAGAAAGACAGTTGGACAGACAGAGGAGTTGCTAACGATCAGGCTGGGAGGGTGAATAGTTGTTAATGGGGACTGTTAGTGACTAACAGCAGGGGGTGTGTAGTGGCAGGCTATGTGGTAACAAGGCCTGGTGTGTGGGGTGGGGGGCTGGGACATGGGAGAGTTTAGGCCCTAAAATTATTGAACTCAATATTGAGTCCGGAGGGCTGTAGGGTCCCCAAGTGGAAAATGAGGTGTTGTTCCTCCAGCTTGCGCTGGGCTTCACTGGAACACTGTAGTAGGCCGGAGACAGAGATGTTGGCCAGGGAGCAAGGTGGTGCATTGAAGTGGCAGGCAACAGGTAGTTCAGGGTCTTTTTTGCGAGCAGAACGTAAATGTT